TAGGCTTCAATGTCCGTAAAGACAAGTATAAGGTTTGTTCCTTTCTTGATGTATTATTCAAGAAGTGTCTTTGTGGTTTCGTTAAAGATTGTTAAATAAACTTGCAGATAAAAATGAAAGGAGACAAAAGTGGTCGCAAAGGCCAGCTCTCAGTTGCCTCAGAGGTACTACAGAAGTATATAAATATAAATAAATGCTAACACTCCGGTTAAGTTCGGGTCTATCTTATCACTGTATCAGTACTTGGTATAATTATTTTGGTATGGTTAAATAAATGCTAACACTCTGGTTAAGTTCGGGTCTATCTTATTACTGTATCAGTACTTGGTATAATTATTTTGGTATGATTATTCGGTTTAACAGGTGTTTGAAGTGGCGCCATCGTTGCATGTGGTTGAGCTTAGGAAAACCGGCGGTGATACCCTCGAGTTTCATAAGGTATGTTGTTTCAGTTTAATCTTCATGAAAAGGTTAGCATCTCTAATTGCTGTTTAATTGGATTTATGTATAATATGTTTTACAGTTCTACAAAAACTTCTCATCTGGATTAAAGGATGTAGTCTGGAATACTGATGGATCAGCTGAAGAACATAAAGCTTAATAAGTTAATAGCAAGTTGTTATGTTCGAAAACAAAATAAACTTAAATAAAGAAAGAAACAGTATTGAAGTTATTGAAATGTAACTTGAAGCTTCAAAGATTGATAACCAAAAAAAAATCAGAGAAGCTAAACCTAGTAGTAGTAGGCTACAAATGTACAGAGATCATCCACATGCGTCAACTCAGTTAGTCAAGATCCAATAAATGAAGGGTTTGTTTCGTCGTCAAAACTCGGGAACTTGACCACTACTATTTGATTACAGTTGAAACTACTTTATTGTCAACGCTTTAAAATGACAGAGTATCCATCAAAGTATGGAAGATTGTTCATTGTATAATTACATACTCCCTCTATTTCATTATAAGTATCACTCTACAACTATGCACACGGATTAAGAAAACAATTAATTTTACATATTTCCTATATAAAAACACAATTAACCATACACCTAACCATATTTTAACCAATAGAAAAACACATTACGACACTTATTTTGTAACACAAAAAATTCTCTACAACGACATTTAATATGAAACGGAGGGAGTATAAACTTAGCTGTTAAACTTTATCTAAATTAATTCATTTGGCATAGTACTGCCCACATCAAACTCTTTTCAGCTTGTTTTAGGTATTCTATATCGTTTACTTATGTAGACTAGAGACCATTTGACGTCCAAAAAAAAAAGTAGAGACCATTTAACTTACTAGTACTTTTTGTGTAGATAATTTGTACTATACTTTTATATCTATTGGTGTCCCAAAAGAAGTGTTATATATCTTGTCATACATTGATGACGAAACTGGTTTCTAGTTAGTTGGTATTAGACCGACCAACATTAAATGTTCGTTTATGTTCTACACATGGGCACTAGTCCACCATTTATTATCATCATTATTTCAAATTTAGTTAACAAATGAAGTAGTTTGATCTATTAACATATTGCACAACTAGGTATAAAGTACATGTTTTTAAATTACAACATTTTAATTCTTATTACGTTCATCAAGCTTGACCTCGATTACAGAATTAATCATATTCATGTTTTTTTTTTTTGTAACACTAATCATATTCATGTATAGTGGTAAACTATTTGAGCTCTTGATTAATCAGTTGTCCTTTTTTTTTAAACACAATCAGTTGTCCACTGTTAATCAATTATATAAGCATAGATATAAACCTAAATTAATAGCATCTGGTGAAATGGGTCATTCAAATATTGAAGATAGAGAGTTGGTATCTGTCGACATATGTGTCTCATGTGGATGTGGTAATCACGATTCATCAAACTGTGTCGTTGGCTTGGATGTTTTTTTTTTTTCTGTTGTTTGCCAACCTGTGAGAAATATTACTGTCTTGTTTTCCTTTGTGATTATGATACATTGGAACATTTTTATAAGAAAGGGTTATGTCCTTTGATTTTTTCAATAATTTAATATAAATAGCTAGGTTTGTGTTTCTCACGCTAGAAAATGGTGTTGTTTGGAATGATGTACAATTTACATAAAAAGGATGCTTCATGAACAAAATAACTCATGTGTACGTCACATCACATGCATGAAAAGTATGTACGTAATTGGTTCGTCTGATTAATTACAACTTTGTAATACATCGATAAAAGGTTAATTAAGAGATATAGAGACAGGTCCAGTCGGACCCGGTCACTGTACGTACAGCGACAAGACTACTCCTCTGTCTCTGAGGTTTACTTTGGGCCACCGTTTTCCATTCTGGACACTTTGAAATTACACAAGAACTATAATTTTTATTTTTTTAATAAAAATTAGTAATTTATTGAATCAAAAATGTGAATCAAAAATTTGAAACTATAAAATTACATTATTTTATAGAGGTTTTTAATGTATATTAATTTATAAAATATTAATTTAAAAATTTTATACTGTATTTGTAGATAAATACTCGAAAATTAGAAATACAGATCCAAAATATTGATGGACAGCTTTCTTTTCTGCACTTTAATATTTTCATTTAAACACCCAGAATGCTAAAGGAATTCATACAATCGAAATTACAATAACAATTACAAAAATTTACTTGTTAATAAATTTCTATAAATGGAATTTATTCAATAAAATCAACAGTTTAAGAGAATATTAAAAAAAAATCTCTATTTAAAAGTTTGCAAAACTTTATATTTGAAATTTAAAAATATTCTTCTCTATAAACAAAACTTTAAATTTAACTTCAAAAGTATTTGTATTTTATACTATGGTCCTTATATTTATCATAACTAATTATTCTAATTCATAAATTATTATAAATAACTAACACATATATACAAATATACAATACTATTAATTACTAAAATGTTACACTAATATGTAAAATTATAAATAGAAATATAGAATAAAATATTAAACTTCAAAAAATACACGTCGAGTCTTTTTAATATATTTTTGTCTAGTAGAAATTTTAAAATATTTTAAATCTTATTTAGTATTTTTTTATAAAAAAGTTTATGTGTAAAATTTAAATATATAAAATAATTTTAAGAACAAAGAAATTTAAAGATTAAAATGATAAACAACAAAATATTTAATAATCATAATTGTGATGTGTAATTGGAATGATCAAAATGCAAATAAATTATAAAAATTAAAATTTAAAATTTTGAGTAATAACACTCTATAAATTTTTACTAACCAAAACTTAAAATTTGAATTTAAAAAAAAAATAGAAAACAAAAAAAAAATCATATTTGAAATTATGGAATGTCTTTTCGGAGATGTTTAATGGATTATAACTAAAAACACTACGGAAACATTCAACTTGGATGGATACCTGGTAAAGAAAAACGAAATGTATTTTTTTGCAACTTAAACCGTGAAATCAAAAATCCACAAATCAATTCACTAGGTCCTAGCCAACTCGCAGTATAGAATGTTTGTGTATTAGTAGGAAAAATATATCTCATATTGAAAAATCAAAGAGATCTTAAGTAATATATAAATAATTAATTAATCTGAATCTAACATAGTATCAAAGTCTAAATCATTAAAAAACTCTAAATCCCTAATTAATTAATTACTTTTCTGACCGTGTATAAAAGTTGTGTTTAACCTTTTGAGTATGGCACGGACGTCATCCCTAGATTCTGATCTTTGTTGCAGTGGCTGAATAAAAACCAGCCAAATCAAACAATCAACACAGATTCCACTTCAAAATTAAAGGCGAAGCTGACGATTCACTAATCCGTCTTATTTTCTAAAGCTTCCATGTTGGAAAAAGAAACCAAATTATTTAGGGTCGACTTAGTTTTATCCATAATTATGTTTGTTACAAATAAAAAAATATATTAGGCAGCCTAAATGGTTGTTTAGATTGTCAGTTGGCTTCCAGGTGCAAGATTTAATTCTCTATGGTTACAGTTTTTTTTTGTTTAAAGCCTAATAGCAAAACGACCTAATTTTGATTTATGTTAAATAAATAATTAACATTTTGTCATGGCATTGCTACACGTATGTCCTATATTGCGAGTTGACATCCTATATTGTGGAACGGAGGGAGTAGTATTTAGTAGATTGACTTGTGAATTTTTGATTTCACGGTTTAAATTAAAAAAAAAACACATTGAAGATTTTTTTTTTCATTTTTTTTGTAGAAAAATCCTTACAAAGTATTAACATAATTCTTTTCTCTTTGTGCACCAAGAAGTAAAATAATTCATTTTAAATTATCATGGTCCATAATGAGGAGTTTCCATACAAGTGGAATACACAATTATGTAAAAATAGTAAATTTGAATATTTGGGGACACGCTTTCGTCTACCCTTGTGGTTGCAACTGAGACAGACTCATGAATGAAGAAACGTTTCTCAAACACATTTCATTTAAATTCACAAGTTACAACAATATATTTATAATATTTAATTACTAACTTTCAAACACTCCCTCAATCAAATCTTGGGTAAAAAAATGTATTTGCTAGTGGTTGTCTGAACATTTTGATTTGCAAGGAATATATATATATATATATATATGTCATATTTCATTTTTGGTGTAGTGATTTAATAGGCTAAACAAAAATAAAAAGTTAGGCTGCCGTAATTTGTGTTGAAAAAAGAAACCTAAGTTTATGATCTGGTCATAAAAAAAAAAATGATCTAACCATATGTGTTTCAGCTGGTTTCTGAAAATGCACTATTTTTCATTGGCATTTCGTGTGAACAAGAGATGACAAATAATACTATGACTTCTCAATTAAATATCAAGGTCCCATATAAGTAGTTGAGCTAATAATAGTATCTCGGAACCACCCACCATTAATTTCGAATATCATTCACATCTTCTTTTCGTTATTATATAATCTTGTTATATCTTTTCTCTTTCTTGCACTTAATAGCAACTCTATATATACATCCACCTCCACTTGCCCTCATTTCACCAAAATCCTCCAAATTCACCATTTTAGGAATCTGTATTCCTCGCTATCTTTCATTTTCTCTTTCTCCAAATCCGCCTAACGACTTAATTGTTATAAAAATTTTCTATCCTGCTTAAAATATTTCGACCGAGAGTTAATACCGATGGAGAGAACAAACAGCATAGAGATGGATCAAGAGAGATTAACGGCGGAGATGGCGTTTAAAGATTCTTCATCTGCCGTTATACGAATTCGGCGACGTTTGCCAGATTTCCTAACGTCCGTTAAGCTTAAGTACGTGAAGCTTGGACTTCACAACTCTTTCAACTTCACCACCTTTCTCTTCTTACTCATCATTCTTCCCTTAACCGGAACCGTGCTGGTTCAGCTAACCGGTCTGACGTTCGAGACGTTGTCCGAGCTTTGGTATAACCATGCGGTCCAACTCGACGGAGTGACACGACTCGCCTGCTTGGTTTCCCTATGCTTCGTTCTGATCATCTACGTGACTAACCGGTCTAAACCGGTTTACCTAGTAGATTTCTCCTGCTACAAACCGGAAGACGAGCGGAAAATGTCTGTTGATTCATTCTTAAAGATGACTGAGGAAAACGGAGCATTCACCGGAGACACCGTCCAGTTCCAGCAAAGAATCTCAAACCGGGCCGGTTTAGGAGACGAGACTTATCTTCCACGTGGCATAACTTCAACACCCCCGAAGCTTAATATGTCCGAGGCACGTGCCGAAGCTGAAGCCGTTATGTTTGGAGCCTTGGATTCACTCTTCGAGAAAACCGGAATTAAACCGGCTGAAGTCGGAATCTTGATAGTAAACTGCAGTTTATTCAATCCGACGCCGTCTCTATCGGCTATGATAGTGAACCATTACAAGATGAGAGAAGACATCAAAAGCTACAACCTCGGAGGAATGGGCTGCTCGGCCGGATTAATCTCAATCGATCTTGCCAACAACCTCCTCAAAGCAAACCCTAATTCTTACGCTGTCGTGGTCAGCACGGAAAACATAACCCTAAACTGGTACTTCGGAAATGACCGTTCAATGCTCCTCTGTAACTGCATCTTCCGAATGGGCGGTGCAGCGATTCTCCTCTCTAACCGCCGTCAAGACCGGTCAAAGTCAAAGTACGAGCTAGTCAACGTCGTACGGACACATAAAGGATCAGACGACAAGAACTACAATTGCGTGTACCAGAAGGAAGACGAGAGAGGGACGATCGGTGTCTCTTTAGCTAGGGAGCTAATGTCGGTGGCTGGAGACGCTCTGAAAACAAACATCACGACGTTAGGACCGATGGTTCTTCCTTTGTCGGAACAGTTAATGTTCTTGATTTCTTTGGTCAAAAGGAAGTTGTTGAAACTCAAAGTGAAGCCGTATATTCCGGATTTCAAGCTAGCTTTCGAGCATTTCTGTATACACGCAGGAGGCAGAGCGGTTCTAGACGAGGTGCAGAAGAATCTTGATCTTAAAGATTGGCATATGGAGCCTTCAAGAATGACTTTGCACCGGTTTGGTAACACTTCGAGTAGCTCGCTTTGGTACGAGATGGCTTATACCGAAGCTAAGGGTCGGGTTAAAGCTGGTGATAGACTTTGGCAGATTGCGTTTGGATCTGGTTTCAAGTGTAATAGCGCGGTTTGGAAAGCGTTACGGGTTGTTTCGACGGAGGAGATGACGGGTAATGCGTGGGCTGGTTCGATTGAAAATTATCCGGTTAAGATTGTGCAATGATTGATGGACTGGATATGTGGAGTGTAATCATTGGTTTCATTATGTAATTGTGTACTTCTTGATATCAAATATTTTTTTTGTAAGTTGTCGATTGAATATTATGATTTAATTAATTTTATGGAATGTGTGTTTGCTATAAATAAGTTAGCTGATTTTTGATATTTTGGTAAACCAGAAAATTGAAATTTTGTCAAAAGACAAACATAAGTCGTATCTTTTTGACAGCATTCACACCGATACAGATAACTTGCTGAATCGCACAAAGTAAGGTGGTTTAAATTGATCACATTTTGTTGGTTGGTGGATTGTGGGTTTTGATCATTTATTAGCTAAATGGCAAAAGTATTGTTTACTAACCCTTGTTAAAAAAGAAGAAGAAAATAACATATTCTCCTTGTGCTAGTTTTGTAAAAGTGACGGAGAGAGTCAACAAGAAAATCTAAGAAAAACATATAAAAGCCACAGATCCATTATTAAAATTTTCTTGGTTCTTCAAAATCTTGATTTATAATAATAACTAACATAGGTGGGTACTTTCGGATCGAACAACTCTTCTAGTTGGAGGTTGTTGAACCATCATCTGCATGATTGGTTTGCTGCCTACATTTACCAACAAAAAAGGCAAACATTTCTAATTTATAGCAAAACCAGGCTTTTCATGTTTTTTTGGGAAAACATATAGTTTGATTTGTTAGCTAAATCAATTACTAGTTTAAAACATGTACACCATGGTCAATGGCATTGGCCATCTTGGAAGTCTTTTACGTGCACTTCAAGTTTAACGTCAGGCCCATTAATAATACAGCTTAAGCACAACGACCTAAATTCAATATCACGGAGAATGACAACCACCAATTGTGGACGTGGAGTTAGGCATCACCGAAAATTATCTAAAAGATTACTGTCATCATACTCGGGTGGGGACTGGGGAGGGACTGGAAATGAGAACCGTTTCTTGACCAAACCCTCACTGTCCCTCTCGGAAGGAAGTCCGATGATGGCCGTTGCCTCGGCAAGCTCTGGGACCAAATCCTCGACGTAGCAGACTCTGTAATAGGGCAACAATGTTACACTATTGACCCATTAATGCCACAACCACTTCTAGCAGTGAAACTATAATTAGAATCTCAAGCTAGGTGTGTTTGATGTACTATAACTATAAGCTACTCTCGGTCATGATCGGGTACATGATAGTGGTACCTGGTCCAACCATTGGGTCTGTCCGGATTGGTTTTAACTCTAAACGGATATGGTCAAAGTGAAAAGATCAAATCTATATCCAAATACAAGGCCCAGTATGAAAAATAAAAGCCTAATAAACTGAAAAATATTTAAAATGAGCCTACCGAATATCTAAGGGGCCCATATATGGGAGGGTTGCAACTTGCAAGCTTTATAATCTGTGCGGCTCCCGTCCTTGCGTCAAACCCTAGCGAGTAATCATCTCACGAGCCGCTCAATCGATCCTAACCCTTAAGGTACTTGATGTTTCTCTTCTATTGACCCAGGAAGAAGATATCATAGATTATAGAGACATATATTTTGCTAGAAACCTATTTATTCTGTGAACAAATAAATATATTCCATTGATTTTTCACTGTTACCAGGAGCTGCTTTTATTTAGCTATTTAGTTGTTTGGTTAGTTGGAATCTCAGATTTAGATCCGGATTTGTAGATTCAGTGTATGTTTGATATTTCTTGGGTGGTAATTTGGTGATTAATCGGCTGATATTGTTGTTGTTCTTGCATGGTTTCAGAGAGAAAGAAAATGTCGACAGTGGGAGAGCTTGCTTGCAGCTACGCTGTTATGATCCTCGAGGACGAGGGTATTGCTATCACGGTTGGTTCTCTTATTTTTATTATTTTTGATTTCTCAGATTATCCATTTCCTTGGACATGTCTGTTTGCTTGATAATTCAAAGCTTAGTTCGAAACTGTTTTGTTTATTCTCTAAAAACCTTTATATGATGTTGTTAGGCCGACAAGATCGCTACATTGATCAAAGCCGCTGGCGTTACTTGTGAGTCTTACTGGCCAATGCTATTCGCCAAGATGGCTGATAAACGTAACGTCACTGACCTCATCATGAACGTTGGTGCTGGTGGTGGAGGCGGTGCACCTGTTGCAGCTGCTGCCCCAGCTGCCGGTGGTGGTGCTGCGGCTGCTGCACCTGCCGCTGAGGAGAAGAAGAAGGTAGGATAAATAAATACTTACGCTTAGTTCAACTTGTTTCTAAACATGCTTTATTGTGGTTGCAGGAAGAAGTGGCCGAAGAGAGTGATGGTGATTTGGGTTTCGGCTTGTTCGACTAAGCGGACAGCTATTACATGTTTCTTTTTCTTGTTGGTACTTGGTTTTCATCAAATCTGAGACCATTATTTTGTTGCATCATCTGAGTTACTACTTGAAAGATTTTTGCAGTTAGAACTATTCTACTGTATACTTAAGTCTACCGAACAAAAAGATATATAGGTCTACAAGAACTATAAATTGTCGAACCCATACCTTGTACGTTCAGAGATGAATTAGGACACCAAATGTAGATAAAATTCTTAGCAGCAAACAAAATCAGTGTTTAAACATTGAGCAAGAATGTTGAATCGTAGTGAGGCTTCTTCAGTGAAGGAAACTGGGCTTGTATATGAGCGTTTTCAGTCGTTGAGGCAGGCCCATTCAGTGGAACAAACGAGGCGTGTGGGAATTTCATGTGTTGTTTACCTACTTGAGGTTCTTTCTTAAAAACTTTCTGCAGGTGTACGTCTATTTGCCAATTGGACTTTGTAGATTGGATCTTGGAATTTTTAGAAGAAAAGAAAAAAAAAAAAAAAGCTACACATTGGTGTTAACGAAAGAATGGTGGGTCCCAAAATCTAAAAACACATATTTAAAAAAGAATTAAAAATAGAGACGGAAACAAATAGGTAGAGAAGGGAGTTAGTTGAGCCTCCGCCTCTTATTACAAACAACACTTGTCCACCAAACTCATCATCCTTCTTGTTCTCTCCGCCTTAGAGGAGCTCCTTCTCTTGAATCTCACATTCCTCTATCGAATATGGCCACGGCTTTCTCTCCCACCATTCCTCTCCATGAGAATCGTACCTCGCTTCCCGCCACCCGATTGGTTCCTCCTCCTCCTTCTTCCGCTTTCCTCGGATCCACCCGTTCTCTCCCCATTCGCAGACTCAATCACGCTCTCGCCGCTCGTCGATCTCCCGTCGTCGCAGTCCAGGAAATTGTCAAGGAGAAGAAACCCACCAATAGCCTCGTATGCCTTCCTTCCTTCCTTTATCTCTTTTACAGTTCCTTACACGTATTAAAAGTGTGACATAATTACCAATTCATGTTCAATGCAATGCTCTTAAGCACCATAAATCATCATTGAATATCTGTGGTAAATTTGCTTCATTTTTATTTTTGATTTTAATAATTGTATGCAATGTTCCAAAAATCGGGCTAGGCAGCTTCACTATTGTAATTAGACACTAAATATAAAAGACTAGTCATAGGCGGAATTAGGATTATTCGTAACCAAACCTAGGTGTTAACGAATATTGTTTATATTTCAGTTTTTTTAATTGTCTAATTATAAAATTATTTAGATGAATTGTAAGATTTTTTAAACACTGATTGTAAGATTTGATTTTGTCATGAAAAATAGTTGATAACCAAAGAGGAAGGATTGGTCTTGTATGAAGACATGATTCTCGGTCGTTCTTTCGAAGACATGTGTGCTCAAATGTACTACCGAGGCAAGATGTTTGGTTTTGTCCACTTGTACAACGGCCAAGAAGCTGTCTCGACTGGTTTCATCAAGCTCCTCACTCAGTCCGATTCCGTTGTCAGCACGTACCGTGACCATGTCCACGCACTCAGCAAAGGTGTCTCCGCTCGTGCCGTCATGAGTGAGCTCTTCGGGAAAGTCACCGGTTGCTGCCGTGGTCAAGGTGGATCAATGCACATGTTCTCTAAAGAACATAACGTGCTTGGTGGGTTTGCTTTTATTGGCGAAGGCATCCCTGTCGCCACTGGTGCTGCCTTCACTTCCAAGTACAAGAGGGAAGTTTTGAAACAGGACTGCGATGACGTCACTGTTGCTTTCTTCGGAGATGGGACTTGTAACAACGGACAGTTCTATGAGTGTCTCAACATGGCTGCTTTATATAAGTTGCCTATTATCTTTGTCGTTGAGAATAACTTGTGGGCGATTGGGATGTCTCATTTGAGGTCTACTTCTGACCCTGAGATATGGAAGAAAGGGCCTGCGTTTGGGATGCCAGGTGTTCATGTTGACGGTATGGATGTGCTGAAGGTGAGAGAAGTGGCTAAAGAGGCAGTCACAAGAGCTAGAAGAGGAGAAGGTCCAACCTTGGTGGAATGTGAGACTTATAGGTTCAGAGGACACTCCTTGGCTGATCCTGATGAGCTCCGTGATGCTGGTAAACTCTCTCTCTTTTACTGCTTGTAATGTTTTATCTTAGGATTGAAACTAACATTAGACTATGGCAGCTGAGAAAGCCAAGTACGCGGCAAGAGACCCGATCACGGCACTGAAGAAGTATCTGATAGAGAACAAGCTGGCGAATGAAGCTGAGCTTAAGTCGATAGAGAAGAAGATAGACGAGTTGGTGGAGGAAGCGGTAGAGTTTGCAGACGCGAGTCCACAGCCAGGTAGAAGTCAGTTGCTAGAGAATGTGTTTGCTGATCCAAAAGGGTTTGGAATAGGACCTGATGGACGTTACAGATGTGAGGATCCCAAGTTCACTGAAGGCACAGCTCAAGTCTGAGAAAAGAGAGAGAGAGAGAGAGTTAAATCATAATGTCTTTGGCTTCTGTTTGTTTGATGTTATTAAGTTAAAATGCCACAGAGAAACAGTTTGAATCATTTGAACCCTTTCTTCTCTTTTTTTGGATGGATATTGCTAAATTACAGTTACGTTCTTTCATGTTTAGTCAGTAATTAATACTCTCCAGTCCATGTTTCTAAATAAGTGTTTTTAAATAAGTGTCACTATAAGTGTTAACTTGACACTTTAGCACATAAATAAAGAAAATTGTATAATAGACTATATATCACTGTTTAATGTATGTTTAATTAAATGAAAGAATTTAAGAAAAATATTATTGGTTATTCGAAGGGTAAAAACAAATTTAATGTATAAAATTACTTTGGGATTATAGAAAGAGACTTCTTTTGAAACAAAATAAAAAAGAATGATCATATTAATTATGTGATTATGAATCCGCATTGGGTTTGTTTGGGCTTTGAAAATATTTGGGTTTTTGAGTAAAAGGATTGGCTAGAAATGATAAATGTGGATTTTAGATATTTTTAAGGCCTGGTAAAAGAAGAGGCGACATAATAAGACAATTTTCGTGGGCCCAGTCAGATGATGAGTTAATGACATGAAGATGTACTAGTAAATTATGATGGAACACTTGACAAAAAAAAAAATTATGATGGAACAAACATACTAAGGTTTAATGATCAAATAGGTTCTAAGGTCTTCGGAGCGTACAAAAAGAGTCTCTCAACTCTGCATGCTGAGATGGAAGATTTACTTTGGGCAGTTTCATGTATGAGAAACAGGAGGATAATTTTAGTACGGTTTGAGACGAACTGTTCGGGCCTAGTGGAGATGACTGCAAACCCAGAGGTTTTGCTGACTTTCAAGACAGAGATTGAAGTGGTCCAGAGATTACAAGAGAATTTTGAGAATGTGAGCCTATGTCATATTCATTAGCATAAGAATAGTCGAGCGAACGCGCTAGCAAAAGAAGCAAGAACCAGAGAATATACTTTTCTCATATAGATCAGATCCAGTCAGACGGAGGTGCTCCTCAGAGAATCAGCTCGTCTAACCACTATTTAATCTAGTTTAAATGAACGGCTGACAAAAAAACTAAGGTTTCGAATGGTAAAATCAGTTCAAACAGTACAGATTAACCAGGACAAGTGCAAATTAAGTAGGATCAGTGTTGTACAAGTGAATCATATAGTAGAGATGTAAATCAAACATATCAAATAATTTAATTATAAATTATGAATGACAAAATCAGTTCAAAACTATAGATCGTATATTAAAACAATAAAAATTACATCAAAGTATCGAAGTAAATATCTTAGATGTCGTAGCATTAGCCGAAATGTTTTTAGAATTTTTTCCTAAAAACTTATACTTCTTCTATTTTTTTTTTTGGGAAAATTCCATATAAATACCCCAACTAAATTCTATTAAGCTTTTTAATACCCAAACTTTTTCACTACCCAGTTTAATACCTCAACTAATTATTCTGCCCATTTTAATACACCAACTTTTATAACTGTATCTATTTTAATACTCAAACTTTTTTTATTTTAATTAACAATACTAATAAATTTCAAATGAAATTTTAAAAAATCTCCAAAAATTTAAAAAAAAATATTTAAATTTTCTAAGTTTATTTGAAGATTTAAGAAATAAGGTAAAAAACTCTGTAGAAAATTTAATGTTTTAAAAAAAAAGTTTTTGAAGGAAAAAAAATAATTTACTTTTTATTTCAAAAAAACAAACTAAATTCAATATATAAAACTTAAAAAACTTAAGATTATAAAAATTTATTTAATTTCGTTACTCAAACATATAATAAAATTAATTTTTTTTTCTGAAGTTTAGACATTTTTAAAATTTCATTGGAAACTTATTAGTATTATTAATTAAAATAAACAAAGTTTGAGTATTAAAATGGATACAGTTATAAAAGTTGATGTATTAAAGTGGGCAGAATAATTAGTTGATGTTTTAAACTGGGTAGTGAAAAAGTTTGGGTATTAAAAAGCTTAATAGAATTTAGTTGGGATATTTATATGGAATTTTTTTTTTGACAACGAATAGTTGATATATTATTCAAGCTTGAGGTGGTCTGAGACTTCTTCTATTTTTTTTTAGGTGATCGAGATTTTTTTTTGGAAAATAGGTAGGTTACACTAATATTAAATTCTTGATTGAACTTACCTTCGAAAAACTCTTTACCAATGGATGTAGAATCTTTGAAACAGTAGTTGATCATAAAAATTATTTGATTGTACAACTCAATAAATACTTGTTTCAGTTAATAGTCCATTTAAAATGGTTTTCTCTCATATTAAAACATAAAAAATATTAACTACTTATTCCTGTTGAAATATATAGGAAAATTTATATTTATTTCCTTTAAAAATGTTGTGTTTTGTAGGCGGTTGGCGTCATATTTATAATTTTAAAATGACACAAATAGTATTAGTGTAAACTATATAATTTGAATTATTCATTGTCATTATTTATAAAATCAGATAAATATACTTTAAAATTAAAGTTTTTGTAATCAAATGATTTATTAGCAAAAAAGAACAAATCAGATATTGAACTCTATGTAGATCTCTTAATTTATTTAATAAAAAATAGAAAAATATTGAATTGTATGTAGATATCCCGGTTGAACTATTTTTTACAAACATAAAAATGTGAATATAAATACAGTGTGGAAGAACTTCAAGTGCGGGGAGAACTGTTGTCGACCATTTGAACTTTGACTGAAATAAACCGAGTCAATGTTGAGCCAGACATATTTCCACATTAAGTAGCTACCAAACCTAAAACTCAGCAGTCTCGACAATATTTTCGCCTTTTTATCCGAATGATTCGTACTGTGACAGAACAATACCAGTCCAGTATTGTTAGATGTAATAACAAAATCTTCACATATCTTTTTATGTTTATATATATATATTTATCTGGTGAAAACACAGCATATGAAACACGTATGAAATAAACATCGGGGCATGACGGTGCATCTTATATCTGATTTCAATTTTTTTTCTTAAAAAAAAAAAGAAATTTGGGTGTAACAGACGAATAGTCAGGAAGGAAGAGGATGATAAAATTTTTAGTCACATTGCTTTTTTGGATGGGAAGCTCCCCTCTGGTAATTTGGTTATTAATTATGGTTTTCTTGTTATAGATTCTCTAAGGGCAAGTTGTAGAGGAATATCTAACTATGTAAAAATAATAAAAATATAGAAAACGGGAATGAAAATGGTTAAGGTTCTATGAACCAATATTTTGAGAATTTGATTTTATTTTGTCATCAGCATAAAACACAATTAGGAAAAAAAGTAATTTAAAACACACAATTTTTTTAGTCAAAAGTTATATAAAAAGTTAATTTAAATACAAATCACAACAAATTAAAAATATTATTTTATAGTGAAGAACGTCAGATCAGCATGTGCTCTTAATAATTTATAAATGTTTTGGAATCTTAAGACGTCACATCACTATAGTATTTTCCATCATGCTGATTAGTGGCCATAAAATTCCTGACAATGCATGCTTAAAACAACCTTATTAGTAACTTCCTATATAACAAGTTCTTAGAAACAATATATTAATAGTTTAACTAAATGATCAAGTTTTAATTAATTAAGATAAATAAATTATTTGCAAAAAAAGACAAGAGGACAATGATTTATGTATATGGTGACATGTAGAAAAGACAAATTCGTACATACCAGCCAGTTCAATGTCTTTCTTATCTTTTTTATATTTTATTTTTCTTTGAATGTTAGATATTCATTAAAAAAAATTATTGGAGTTATTCTTATAGGCTAGAAGTATACACTTAAACTTAGTTAGGTACATGTCATCCCACTTTATTCCAAACTTTAAAATAAATAAATATTTTGTCCCACTATATTCCAAACTTTTAAAATAAATAAATATCTTGTCTTTTAAAGTTTTATTGGTTAAATATTTGAGTAAAATGGAGTAAAAATTGTTTTCAGCTGATTTGGGCTTGAACAAAATCAATCATGATAACAAATATTATATTATAGAAAGCAAACTTTTTTTTTGTATATTTTTGAATTTCTAGTGCAAAGTTTTTCTTCTCTCTTATTAGGGAATAAAAGTATTATTCCAATTTTCCTTTTTCTTCTTCATTCATTTTCCTCTTATTTCTTCCAGCTTTTTTTTTTTTGGTTTCTCCAATTTCTATCAATCACACACAAAATAAAAAGGAAAGAGAGGAAAAGAGAAAAACTTGATCTGTTATTCTAGATTTCTCTTCAATAATAAAGTGTAAAATATTCAGCAAGAGTGAGAGTAAAAGAAAATTTCTCCTTTTCCCCTTGATTTGTAAATTTGGAGGAAATTAGAGTAACAAAAAAGTTACTCCATATTTGTACTTTCAAGTGTCTATCCAATCAGATTGTTAATTCAGCTGATTTTCTGCTCCCTTCAAATATTATCAGTGGCTTTATTTGATATGATATTACGGTGGATCCCACGTCGACAGATCATATGCATTCAAACTCGGATACCATTATAAACTCTTTTTTTATCACCCACGTGTTTAAAACAAATAATTATATGGGGAGCCTTCTCAACTTTAAATAGCATCTCATTAGGCATGAGCACCTACATTGATGGTTCTTCTATAATATCTTTTTTTTTAAAAAAAAATAGACGATGATTTGTGACACCTAGAGGCTAGAGAGACGTACTTTCAATCAGAAGGTTTTGAACGCAACTTGCATTTAAGGACTCGATAAAATCTTAGATCAAAAATAAGAAGAAAACAGAAAATAAGAAAGAGGTAGAAGTATAATTCTATGCAAAGATATTGTCAGACCTTCTTTACTTGTCAAATTATAAATGGTGTTACTGTTTCCAAATAAATACAATTTATATATTTTATAAAATATGATTATCTTTTGGTAGAGAAACTTAGTTTGAGAACCTAACTGATTAGGTTTTTTTTTTCTAATTGATCTAGTGGTGTTGGTATAAACAAATAAATCGTTTTTTTTTAGAAAGAGTTAACAAAAAAACTGTTTGAATAGCCATATGGTATTACTGGATTGCGCTTGCACCGAAAAGTATGTATAATAAGGAAAAATATATATGTGTCAAACTACCAAGTATCAACCATATACATATGACTTGCCGTGATAGAATTCACAACCTTTTATCATTTGATAACGTTTCTTTTTTTTTCCATTCAAAGCAAAAGCTGAAGACTAATACGGTCATATAATGTTTGCAAATAAATTTCTTAACTTTACCTAATATAACTTAAAATTAATATGAAAATATGTGAAATTGATAATAAATACTTGATAATATTTTGTATATTCCTTATCGTTTTTATTTAATTTTATAGTGAATTAAATAAATAATACAATTTTTTATAAATTATATTTTAATTTTTAAAATAATTCTAATTTATTAAAATTGTTAAAAGTTTCATATTAAAACTTTTGGGAATTTCAAAATATTATAATTAAAAATGCATATGATCACGAAATCATATGAATTGAAAACTTCATTTAATAGATATCCAGATTAAAAATATGTTATATATCTATTTTAGTATTATTAAATTTAATTATATACCATAAAAATCCACATATATTTAAATTTCAAATGTGTATCATACTTGAATTGACAATATTTTAAATAATTTTGCCATTTAAACTTGATCAAATCATAAAAATATATTTACATATATTTTGTTTCATATAAAATAAAATATATTTAAAAAAATATATATTTATTTAATAATATTTTATAAATATTTCATTCTGCGTTAGGTGCATGTTATTACCAAGTAGAAATGTATTTCGCAATATCATTATTATATTAGAACAAAAAGATTAACAAAATATTCATGGGGTTACATTATTGATTTTGAGCTTTGGATAGGCCATTAAGGGTGGTATTTTTTTCCAAAAAAAAGTTTAAGAGTGCTTTGCCAAAATTAGGATATTTTCTCCTTTTTTTGGAAATTACCTACTAAATTGAACTTCAGAACATTAAAAGTCTCAATTAGTTTAAGTGACTGAGACTGAGAGTACTTTTGATTCAAGGATTTTGGTTTAGCCACTTAAAGGTTAAGTATAAATATGGGAAGCCTTAAGGTGAACTCAAAGCACTTCGAGTCTTATCACTCTCTAATACATAGTGGCATGTCGACCCACCAGGCCACCTCATTCACAACTTCCTGTTCATCCTTTTTAATCTCTGTGCCTTTGTCTTAAATAATTCCTATTTTTTGTCCCTCCAAATATTTTAGTGGTTATCAATCCGACGCTACACCATCTTCCATGACTATGTAACATGTTTTCATAACTTAATATCAAACTCTGATTAATGAAATAGTTCAGGTAGCTAAAGACATCTTTAAAATCCCACTTTAGATTTAGATTCGTCATGCATTGATTTAGGGCGTAAACAGGTAGCCCTATTGAGATTAATAGATTTTTAAATGACTGAATTGTTGAATCTGAAATTGAATTAACAAACGTATTTTGACTGAATATACAATCTTATCCCTTTTATATACTAGATGCATAGTCCCCGCGCAAGCGCGAGGGTTAGATACGTTGTTGATGTGTTGTGTAGTTTTGTGTATGAGACTTTGCTGTTTATCTTTTAACATTTGTTTATCTGACTTATCTATAATGGTGATGAATGAAACATTAGAAGTCACACAACTTGATTAGTCTGATAAAAGAATAAACATCGAATTTATGTGAGTTGATATTTTCATATTTTATCTTCGTAGTGATTTTATCGAGCATTTCCTTTATTAGTGATTTTATCGAGCATTACTGTTTTTAGTGCTTTCATGTAAAAAAATAATTTAATGGAGACAAGACAAAAATGACATGTGTTTATTAGTGTAATTTTCTTTCTGAAATTATGTTATATATATATATATATATTTATTTTTTAATTGTGATGTATATGAGATTTATGGCCGATCTGAATGGTTCAGGGTAAATATTTATTATTGAAAAAATATGTTTTTATTTTATTTAATGATTATAACTGAATTGAAATGATATAGGAGGTTAGAACATGATAACTTTTCTTATAAAATTATCTAAGATAAAATAAAAAATGATTTTGTATCCCAACAACCAGCATAAAAAATGATTCCGAATCTCCCTAAACTTTTAGGTATCCCGAAAAGCCCAAATTTAAATAAAAAATTAAATGCAAGCACTGCATTTCGAACCACGCCCTCGCGGTACCAACTTCTCGTCACCAACTTACACCACTGGGTCATTTCATCACTCATCGATAACATTCAATCTTACAAAATGTTATACGTTTTTGTTTTTCCTATTAACACGCGCGGGGCCCGTAAACTTGCTGACGTGGACACGCTGAGGAGCTTCAAAAGTGTACTATTATTATAAAATTAAATGCAAACACTGCATTTCGAACCCACGCACTCGCGGTACCAACTTTTCGTCACTAACTTACACCACTGGGTCATTTCATCACTCATCGATAACATTCAATCTTACAAAATGTTATACGTTTTTGTTTTTCCTAATAACACGCGCGGGGCCTGTAAATTTGTTGACGTGGACACGCTGAGGAGCTTCAAAAGTGTACTATTATTATATAGATTTGAGAAGCACTACAATATTTGAACTATAACATGTGTCATCACAAAATTGATTAAAGTCTTTAGAGAAGCAAGTTTGTCGATATACCTATATATTAATTTTTTCATTAAATTAATGGTTTTCACTAATAAAGATTTGTTAAAAATATATATTATCTATCATTTTTTTAATTTTTTTATTAAAATAAATCAATCAACCATATTAGCCATAAAATATAAAAAATAGATTTTTTGTATATATTATATTTTAATTTTTAAAACATCTATAAATTATTAAAATTGTCAAAAGTCCCCACACTAAATTTTTTTGTTATCAATGGTTTACAGATTTTATTATAACAAGATAAAAATTATTATAAAACCATATGAGCATGAAATTTAATTTAATAAATATTGAAATTAAAAGATATAAATATTTTTAGTATCCTTTTTTATATACTATATAAAAATACATAAATATTATAAATTCGAAATCTGCTTAACATTTTAATTTTGAACATAACATTGATTTTTTTAAAAAAAAATCATAAATGATTAAAATTATTAAACATCTTGCACTAAAAAATGTTATCAGTGATTCAAAATAATTATTATAGAAATAAATTATTTACTAAAATCATTAAATTTTATTATAAAAATAAATACTCGTTTTCAGTTAAGAATCCATTTAAATTGGTTTTCTCTCAAATTAACTAAATTTCAAAATATTTATTATACAAATTAAAATGACCACAAAACACATAATCAAGAAGCCTTATTTAATATACAATCATATTAAAATATACTGTATATATATTATTCTATATCATTTAAAATTAATTATATATCATATAATATATATATTAAATGATTGTTTAGATTTATTAACTTTGTAAATAAACAATAATGGCTGGTCTGGTTTAATGTAATCACACCAATTTAATTATATATGTCAAATTATTAATTTCTCAATTATTCAATATAAATTTATTATTTTATTATTTCATTTTTTGTAACAATTATTTTATTATTTCATAATATATAAAATAACATAGAATAAGTAATAACACGAAAAAATAATTTTTATATATAACTTAATTAATCCCATGCATGGCATAGGTCTTAATATAATCTTCCATTATTAGCAATGACTTTCTGGATTTTTACTTGGTCCATCAAGGCATCAAGCAGAATTCACAGAATCTTTAATTTATTTCTGTTTGGACGGAAATCGGTACGACATGTATTTAACAAACTAACAAACAATCCTTAAAATATATGTTCTACATGCTGAAAACATTTTTAATAATTTCTAGAATCGTTCAACTCACATTATACAATAGTAGCAAGACTCATAGACTCATAGTAGCAATAAGACGAATTAATGATAAACCAAGTTGAAACACAAATAAGTAAGAGATACAAGAAGAAAGCTAAAGGTCTTTGGATCAGTGACTATAATCCATGATCAATATCCAGATTTGACATATTTTGTTCTCTTTGAACAGTATAGTTTGCAGGTTTAGATTGTAAAATATACTCTACATAGATTTACAATGTATAATTTATATTTAATTTTTACATACAAATCTGAGGAAGAATCATTATCTGCCTTAGTATAACAGAACTATATATATATACTATTGTAGAGATTCTTGTTTTTTACCACATCACTAAATCCAAGCCAATCACAAGTCAAGACGTAAGTTTTTCACAAATTATAATTTTGAATTTGTATGCCGAAAAGAGAAATTATGTTTCAGAGTAATATACACAATGTGCAGTATTAATGACACGAACAAGACGTAACAAACCAAATTACATGTGTCCCAGATAGCGTATAAACTCCAGAGTAAGTCCAGTGTGAAAACAACCATAAACATTTCCTTATAAATATCGGAAGGTTTGTGATCGACAAACTCAAAGCACATTGAGTCTTATCTCTTTCTAACACACACACAAGCTCACACATTTATATATATACAGAGAGAGAGAGAGATGGACGAAGAGACGCAAGGCGTGAAAGTAATCGGGGAATGGTCACCGGCTATAGTAATGGTGATATCTAACATAGCGATGGGGTCGGTGAATGCACTTGTGAAGAAAGCTCTTGATGTTGGTGTGAACCATATGGTCGTTGGTGCTTATCGAATGGCTATTTCCGCTCTCATTCTAGCTCCATTCGCCTATATCTTGGACAGGTTCGATACTTTTATGAACAACGATTTATGTTTATGTGCTATTCTGCCCAAACCCTCTCCCAAAAAGGAGAGTTGTAAACTATATTAGCTCACCATAAAGACCTTTCTTTGTAAATAATGATAACACAAGTAATGAAATCTCTATTATGAGAAAACGTACTTCTCTTGAGACCGAGACATTTGAAGACTGTGCAAATTCAATTTTCTAACATGCAAGTAGAGGCCACAATTAATTATGCTATATACACTTCAATGATGTTCTTTTTTCTTTTCTAAAAAATATGTATTATTGTTAAACAGGAAAACAAGACCGAAGCTAACGTTTAGGCTATTCATCGATCACTTCTTCAGTGGCCTGCTCGGGTTTGTCCTCTCAAATCTATATTTCAATTAATTTTATCATTTTTTGTCCTCTATTTTCGAATTATTTTTATATTCATTATAATCGTTGATTTTTGTCTTCGGTTACGAATTTTTTTCTTTCAATTACGATAAATATCATGCGCTCTAGTTATTATTATTTCAATTTTATTTTTGGGTTTATAAATTGCAGGGCAAGTTTGATGCAATTTTTCTTTTTGCTTGGTCTGTCGTATACGTCAGCGACTGTTTCGTGTGCTGTGGCAAGCATGATGCCTGCAGTCACCTTCGCTTTGGCCCTTATTTTCAGGTACTGATGGAATTATCCCGCTTCTTTATATATTGACGAAACATGTTTATCAAAATCTTAATTTACAAAAAAAAAATGTTTATCAAAATCTTTTTCTTTTTTTTTGAAACATATTCTTCTAGCTAATTGTTTACCAGAACTAATAAAGTGCTTTTAAATAATACGTTTCTTCTAAATTGACTTTTGTGCACTATGATTATGATTTTTTTTTTTTTTTTGTGTGCACAGATTATGATTTCCTTTATACAGTATATCCCTAACTTATACGTAACTACATTCATTTGAGCTTCTTTATATAGCTTTTCCTGGTAAAAGGTCTTTTTAGCTAGACGTTGCATTTAAACTTTGATAAAGGGATGCGGAGCCTCGTAATAACACGATTCATTGAATCAAATTGACTATAATACCTACCATTGTAGCGTTTAGAAGTAAATACTTATTAATTAGTTAAAATAAAAAATAAATAACGAACCAAGTCGTTTTACCCCGATAGTAGAAAGGTTTCAACTAAAATTTTCATCTGCTATTTAGATGGATTAGTTGTATTTCTGGATACAAGTCCTCATGAGATTAGTATTTTAATCTATAAAACTTTTGAAATTCCATGGTTATAAAAGAAAAAAGAAGTAAATAATATAGTATAATTTTCTGCTGCTGTCTACGACGCACCCGTACACTACGGATACTTTTGTATAGGTTTATGCAAGTTTTAATGTAAAGAAAAAAAAATTATATGGCATTTATCATACAAACTTACGTAAACACGTTTTAGGACGGAAAGTGTAAAAAATCTAAAGACCAAAGGAGGAATGTTGAAGGTGCTGGGAACTCTAATATGCATAAGTGGCGCTTTGTTCTTATCATTCTACAAAGGCCCTCAAATATCAAACATTCACTCTCACAGAGAGGCTATTCACCACAACAACAACGATGGAGACAAAACCAAGAACTGGCTTCTTGGATGTCTTTACTTATTTATAGGAACCACGTTGCTGTCTCTGTGGATGTTGTTTCAAGGGACTTTAAGCATTAAGTACCCTTGCAAATACTCGAGCACCTGTCTCATGTCGGTTTTTGCAGGGTTCCAATGTGCTCTATTGAGCCTTTACAAGGGCATAGACGTTAATGACTGGGTTATCGATGACAAATTCGTGATTATTGTCGTCGTATACGCTGTAAGTTAATATAATATAATATATTCATAAAATTAAAATTTATTTAAAAATAAATCAAGGTAACTATGCAAAGCTTGAGAAATTTTGGGGTTTATTTTATATTACTTTACTATATATATAAAATCATGACTTTTTAAAAATATTAATCAAATCTAACCAACCACCACTAAGTTGATGGATGCATTCTATGTTTATCTACTCATATTGGCGAAATGTCATTTTGTAAAGATAGTATTCTCTGTTTGTTTACAATGATATGTTTGTTAGAAAGTTCGATTTTTTTTTGTTGATGTCTAGAACCGTTGTTATTCTTTTAGGTGTACGTATTAATGTTATTTTTTTCTCTTTGACAAATGCTCTATACACGTAATATTTACAGGGAGTGGTAGGGCAGGCCATGTCGACTGTAGCAACAACATGGGGAGTAAAGAAATTAGGAGCTGTTTTCGCATCAACGTTTAGTCCAATTGGTCTTATATCAGCTACTCTATTCGATTTCCTCATCTTACACACTCCTTTATACCTCGGCAGGTACTTTTCTTTGTTTGTTGTTCTATATATAATTAAAGTAGCTCACAACACTAACTACAGTTTTTGAACTTTTATCATTGTAGTGTAATTGGATCAGTAGTGGCAGTAATGGGTCTCTACGTGTTCTTGTGGGGTAAGAAGAACGAAAAGGAAGCATCAACGGCATTGCCTCCTCGGATGGATAAGGAAGCATCAACTAATTGTCCTAATGTCTAAGGAGAGAGAATAAGACATGGACTATATTTATCTGAAGTCTAAAGCTACAAACATCAACGTAAAGAGTTGTAAAATACTGTATTACATCCGTTCCATTTTAAATGTCATTGTAAAATATGTTTTATTATAAAAGTCTTTTATATTTTTAAACCAAATGTTTGACAGGTTTTCCATTTCTGTCCATATCTTCCAACTCATTAATTAACCAAAAATAAATAAAATAATGAATTAATCGAGAATATAATAAAAAATAATGTTTTTAATATATGTATCCCTTATATATTATTTGTGAAGTGATTTTGATATTTGTCATCACCACAATCAATTTCACCAAAAAATAATGACATATCCATTAATAATGATGATATGGCTTTGAGTTAATTGTGACATTTACATTTATATTTAATGTTAATATATATTTTTGATAGGTTTTTAAAATATGATAATAATTCATAAATTTTTATTAACATGAGAATAAATAATATAATGGTCCTTGCGTTGTATCTCTGTATATTCACTGTGATAATACCTAGAATGGAATCGGAACGTGGAAACAAAACGTTTCAAAACATGAAAACGTGATTTTCATGAAAATTAGAAATAGATATATTTTAGAAATATATATATATATATATATATGTGTGATTAATTAAAATTTATGCTTATTTTTTCTGATTTATTTAAGAGAGAAAAATTAAATAATAAAAATGTTATCTTTGATACATTTTATAAAAAAGTAATCAATTATTAGAAAATTAACACATTTATTATTTGATAAAATTATGGAGTCGACTTCGTTGCATATCAAACCTTTATACTTAAATGATAATTAATATCAAAATATAATATTAAAATACAAGTTAATAAACATATAATCACTAATATCAAATGATAAATAGTTGTTCTTTCACATTTTCAATCATAATCGCGAGTTTTCAAAACAGAAACGTAAGTTTTCATCGTGTTTCCAAAATGAAATATTTAAAAAACACGTTTCCAAATAATTTCCTCATTTTTTAAGAGATTATGATTCCGAAACATTTTCAAAACAAGAAACAAATTTTAATCGGAGTTTTCATGCAACCTAGGATAATACTATAGTTTTGAGTTTTGACAGTTTTCTTGTTTATTTAATGATATTTTGCCTTTTTTTAATCAAAATTTCTTCCCTATTAATTCTCCTTTGGTTAAATTTCGTTATTGTCCTCATATCGTTTGATATAATTTGGTAATTATGAGTTATGACAATCTATTATTGGTACATTTTAAATGACACGATTACATTTATAAGAAAATGACGCGAATCGCAAATTCGCAATTACTCTCTTTTCACCAAAAAAAGGTGGCTAATGTTTCAGCATAAATCCTCCGCTTTACCAAAAAGAAAGAACGAAAAAGGTAAAAGTTATGCTTTACCGAATTACCGTTGCATGAGCCGGTGGAATGCATTATAGGTATTGTTGCTTGTTAAAAAGACTTGAAAGTATTACTGTAATAAATGAAACACAAAATCGAAAATAGGTATATAAAATATGAGGTTTGTTACACCCAAAAAAAAAAAAAAATTAGGTTTGCTTCAATATAATCCGAGGATCGAAGCTACCGACTTCTTTTCTCAGGTGTAAATATGACACCGACCTAAAAAAAGAATTACCGACCTCTTATTGCAACATCATGAGTGGACATTATAATATTGATGCGTACAAAAATACATTGTGTTCTAGTGTATATTCTCATTCCGCATTAGAATCACGTCTCAAATTTTATTGCTATTTATTTTGTTTCAGTCATGAAGAATTCTTTGTCCAAGACTTTTTGAGAATTGAAAGCCTGATTACAAAAAAAAAAAGAAAAAGACTATTTGAGAACATCGTAAGAAAAACTACTAATCAGTAAGTTACAACAAAAGGCACATACAAAATCCATTTTACAAGTCCAGATCAAACGAGCTTTGGAATGGTTAAAAGCGTTTTACTGTAGCTTTTAAAGTGGTTAAAAGTGTAGCTTTTACTGAATGATTAAAAACGTAGGTTTTAGTGGACTTTGTATGGCGTTTTCATCTGAATGGTTGAAACTCAAAAGTCCCTTCGACTCTCACAAAGAGAGGTTGGTTAATGCCGGTAAATAGTTTGAACATCTAAGCTGATGGCATGCCGAATTGTGTATTCAAAACAAAGGAAAACTTTATACTTTGTGTTAAGAAATGTTTATTCTAAGAGCATCTCAAAAAAATTCTCTATAACATCAAATATAAAATTTTTGTTCTAAAAAAAAATCTTTGAAGTTTTGGGGAGTAAACCTTCATATTTAAAGTTTCATTTCTCAAAACTTCATCTTTTTATTTGCAATTTGATCCTTATTTACATAACTTATTTATAATTCTTAACTATTTTTTCATTTATCATTTTAATCTCTAACAAATTATATCTCACAAATCTTCAAATTTATTTCTATAAATTAAGCTTTACACTTAAAATTAAAAAAAAAATATTATTTTAAAACTAGAATTAGTCAGCAAGAATATTACAAAAAAACTTAACTAATTTTTTTAAAAAAATTATATGAAGACATAATCATTGTAGAAATTTAAATATTAAAACAACACTAATAATCTAGTAAATCTAGTCTGGAAGCTCCAAAATACATATCATGATAATTGAGTATGAACTTGATATTAATGTGCCGATAAAAGATACAAGATCAGTGGTAGAAGAAGCAACGGTTGATATGACGAAAAATGAAGATATCCGTTTTCAATAATTCTTAGTTCGTGGTCTACAAATTAAAAATAAATAGTCATTTCTTACTTCGAAATGCACTAATTGATCACATATGGGAGGAGCATTACGAAAATAATTTTATGCAATAATATGATATTTTGCTTGTAATTTAATATTTTATTATGTATTTCTATTTTTAGCTTTATATTTTGATGTAAACTTTCATTAATTTACATTGTTATAATATTTTTATATATGTGTTAGTTATTTATAAAAATTTTATGAATTTTTATTAATTCTGATAAATATAAAGACCATTGTAAAATATAAATAATTTTAAAGTTAGTTTTGAAGTTTTTATTTTGGAGAAAAACACTTTAAAAACTCAAATATAGAGTTTAAAAACTCAAATATAGAAACATTGCCTAAAAAAAAAAAAAAAAGTTTGAGAAACTTCAATATAGAGTTTTTTTGAGATGCTCTAGTCAATATGATGAATGTCTTTCAGATGAGCTTATGAACTAGTAATACTTTCAGTGATAAAAATTATATTAATCAAAGGAAATAATGTATTTACAGATTTTAAAGAGTATCAATTTATAGAAAAATTCTGATCCGTAAATCTTGGCTGCTGCATAATATATATACACTCTCCCCCTTAAAACGCTGATTCACTTTATTTTTCTCTCCCGAAGTCTCACGCTTTTCGATTCCGACCAGAGGTATGTTTTTTTATTTTATTTTTGTTTGGTTCTTATTAGATGACAAAGTTGGATGCTTTTGTATGTTTGATCATATGGGTTTTGCTTCAAATCTCAATCATCCATCTGAGTTTTATAGAGAAACCAAACCAACAGATCTGGGATTTGCTTCTTTTTTTTTTAGGGTCCCATTAAAACTTTTGGGTCTCTTGATTTGACAGAAGAAGATGAGTGAAGAAGGGAAAGAGAGAGCTGCTCCTCGTCTCAACGAGAGGATCCTCTCTTCCTTGTCCAGACGATCCGTAGCTGCTCATCCATGGCATGATCTCGAGATTGGTATATCACATTCATTTTGGTTTTGTATTTTGGAACTAAGTATACTATATATCATTTTGGTTCTGTATTTTCTTTGTAGGACCTGGAGCTCCACAGATTTTCAATGTGGTAAGTTTCTATACTTTTTTTCTTTTATGAACCAGATTCTTGAATAATCATTTTAATATTAGATTCTTGGAATCTTTTGGATGGAAAATTGGGAAATAATAGGTGGTTGAGATCACAAAGGGAAGCAAGGTCAAGTATGAACTTGACAAAAAGACAGGACTCATCAAGGTTGATCGTATTCTCTACTCATCAGTTGTTTACCCTCACAACTATGGTTTCGTTCCTCGCACCTTATGTGAAGACAATGACCCTATTGATGTTTTAGTCATCATGCAGGTACCTCACTCACTCACTCTCTTCTTTTTCATATTTGCCACCAAATTGTTTTTTGTACATCTCATTCAATTACAAAATTTGTTTTATCTTTTTTATTAGGAACCTGTGCTTCCAGGCTGTTTTCTGCGTGCTCGTGCTATTGGATTAATGCCTATGATTGACCAGGTAACTAAAGTCTCTTTTTGTTTTTTCCTTCCTTTTTTCTCAATTCATTGAGGTTTGCTTTATAAATGGTTCATGTTTGCTTCTTTAATATAGGGTGAAAAAGATGACAAGATTATTGCAGTTTGTGTTGATGATCCTGAGTACAAACACTACACTGACATCAAAGAATTGCCTCCTCACCGTCTCTCTGAGATCCGTCGTTTCTTTGAAGACTGTATCCTTTTTGTTGTTATTTCTTATTGATTTTCTAAGAAAAGTATTAATTAGGTTTTCCATTTAACGTAAATCTCTCTCAATAGACAAGAAGAATGAGAACAAGGAAGTTGCAGTTAATGATTTCCTGCCATCTGAGAATGCTATTGAAGCTATCCAGTACTCAATGTAAGTCTCTCTTTCTCCATCAATAACCAAACTTTTCCTACAGCTTGTTCAAGTTATAAAAGCAACTTCATGGGTTTTGATTTTCAAAATTACAGGGACCTTTATGCTGAGTACATTCTCCATACCCTGAGACGTTGAAGCTTTCTCCTCAACAACATTTCTTGCAACATCTTGGTTTCTGTTTCTCAAGAACATTATCTAAATTTGATACTTTCTCTGCATTTTTGTAAGACTTTGGATGTATCATTGGTCCGTGTGAACTCATTTCGATCGAATTGTGTTAACCAACACACTCGTTAAGCATCATTCATGGATATAAAGAACATTATCTTCCACTTGTTAATTGGGTCTTTCATAAACGGCCCATCTTAATCTTAAGCATAGCCCAATATTTACCAAATCAGCGGTACAATAACATTGAGGATGGGGGCTCAGTGTTAAGTAATTGTTCATTCAGTACTCTCTGGGTAACACTAAACTGTTCCGATCATAGATTGAGTTTGATTGCGCGAGTATTAACTCGAAGAATTATTTGTTCAAGTATTTGTTTACATATGTATTGTAAGAGAAAAACATCTAATAAAAGAGAGGTAGCAAAATAAAAGTTAGCATTAGTTCAGTGGGATTTGTAGTTGAACTTCAACATGCGATGTGGACTTACAAGGGGACTCTTGAAAATAGTAAAAGAATTTACTTGATCTATTAATCTTGTTTACTTTTTGTAGAAGGTAAACGTGCGGATACCCATTCAGATTTGATTCAGTTTTATTTAAGTTTCAGGGATAAACATTTCAATTCTGTTAGTAATTATAAATTTTTAATTCAGGTTTAATTCAAATTTTCACGGATTCAGTTTGGGTTTGAATAACTCCGTTAGATTATATTTTAAAATTTTAAATTCATACAGATTTAAATTTCTTATAATCTAAGCATAAAATAATGTAGAACATATAAATATAAATATTATATGCTAAATTTAACATAAAAATTAGGTTGGCTGGAGAATAAATATATATTTTAGATATTTTGGTGTTTTAAGTATTGTTTAGCTATTTTATCTATTTATTTTTGACTATTTGTATATATTTTTAAATATTTTAGAAAATTTCAAAATATCTTACATATATTGGATATTTTTTTGGATATTAGATCTTGTTAGAGGATACAACGAATTTGACAATTTTGTTAGAGGATACAAAAAAAGCCTATTATTAGTGAGTCATAGTGACTCATGATAGTCCATTAGCCCATGTAGCTAGGGTTTCAACCAAGTAGATTACTGCTCTTCTGACAATGAAATGATATCGTCGAACAAATTCTATCACAAATTCTGTTTTTTTTTGTTTTACTATGTTGTAGGACATACATACGATATTGGAAACAAAACACTAACTCAATACAAATATGGAAAGTACAAAAAAATCACATTACTAAACGTTGGTGAATTTTCTTTAACATAATATATCACTCATCACAAAAGCAAATATCAGAATCACTAATCATCATCACCACTGATCATCACTACTATATATGACCAATGAAGACACCGGTCGTTGAATTTTGCATAGAAGCAGTGATAATCTGTTCATGATCGCCATCATCATCATCAAGCACGTTTGCCCCATTAATATAGCTCGACAGATTGTCGAAAGCCATCTGAATTTCTTCAAGGTTCAATTCTTGATGCTTATCAAGAACACCACTAAGCTGACGTGGAATCTGAAAAAAGAATAAGAAAAAAATGAGTGTGTATGAATTATATGGGGGGTTTAATATGAGAATGAGATTGACCAACCTCAGATCCCATGCACAATCCTCCTCCAGAGACGTTGTTCATCGGAGTGACTAAAGAGTGTGTAGGCTCAACCATTACGATACCAGAAGAAGGGATCTCACTGGCGTCACCCTTAAGCTGTAGTTTGCAGATTGTATATGTCACGCTCTATAAATTAACCAATATATATTCAGCATAAAGTGATTGGTTCCTACTAACACATGACAAACAATCAAAGCAAAGTGACAAAAAAAAAAAAAAAAAAGAGGATTAATGACCTGACG